ATGGTTGCTTTCCCTAAATCATAATAAATGGCCCAAATAATCCAGAAAATGTATATTACCTCAATGGTGATACTATGCTAACATTTAGAGTTCAAAAAGATCTTGTGGTTTTTGTCTTCAGACTTAAAATGGGAAACTCGTATTTCTAAAATTACAAAAAAAGAAAACCCAATGATTTGTCTAATCAAAATTGCTTTTAAAGACCATTTTAAAGGAAATGAACTCCTAACTTTACAAAACCTATATAAAATAGAATTTGCAATGCCAGTTTGGAACACATATTTTCTTAAAGATATAGAAATGTTGGAAAACGTCCAAAGAAAGGTAACTAGAATATCTCCAGAGCTTCAGGGCCTTAGCTATTTGGAAAGGCTTTTCATTCTGTAACACACAAAAAAACGTAGACTTAGAGGTGACTTGATTAAAACGTTCAAAATAGAACACACAAAAAAACTTGGAAAAGAAAAATACAACAAGCTCCAAAGAAATAATTATTTAGGCAACCGAGTGGTGGATACTTGGAACAACTTGCAAGAGGACACTATCGTATCAAGTTCAGTTAACCAGTTCAAGAATCGTCTTGATAAAGAATTGAAAAATGCTTCAAACACCATGGTCCACTATACCAATAGATGATCTTTTGTGATAAACTGTGATATATGTTAATGTATTTTGATAACTTCTCTGTTATATCTAAATGTTATGTACTATAAAGTTAAAGAATGTGACTTTTCAATGCTACATCATTCTCATCGGTTTTACCGCTTACTGATCTTTATTAATAATAAGATTGTGAATTATTGGTCATCTTTTAAATAGTATATATAAGAAATTTCTTGTAAGTAGTTAAAAATGCCTTGTAGGTATTTATGTTGGCTAGTGAAAGCTCTTCAGATCGAACTTTAAAACAACTTTACTCTCGTTGAGTTCGTAGAATAAATCAGAAATTTCTGAATATCCATCACAAATGGCTCCAAAGCTAAAATACCTAATTTTACGCATTATTTTCTCACATAATTAGAGATAAAACACTAAATTACTCGGTACTCGTAGTCTTTTAATGAAATTCGTTCATTTTGAGTTGAAACGTTGAGATTAACGAACTACTTTTCACATAGAAACTTCCGTAATATGGAGCTTCCATTAAAATTCCCATTCATTAAAACTTTCGAAAGTTAAATTTATTAAGCCAGAAATAATTCATGATTTGGAGAAAATTAATGAGGATAAGTGAGCAAAAAATTTCCACTATTCTTTTTTATAACGCAGGGTCAGAAAAATTAAACCTAATTTGTCGTTTTTTATCGGATTTTTGCTGCCAACCAATCTGAAAATATAGCTCGGAATAAAACGTCTTTCCTTCACTAAGTAAAGGAAAAACAAATCATTTCTACTTTTAATAATGGATGTTTTCATTTCCTGGGAGAAGGCGAGGTTGTAAATTCCTCCGAACTGCCAATTATTGTCAAATGAAAAGGAGGTATTGGACGGGACGTGAAATATTTCGAGAGCATTTCGCATTTTACACCGACAGACCAGAACGTTGGCGGCTGGGCTTGTTATTAAACTCGCAAAAAAAAATATTTACAGTGACAGCAAAATGTGCAACTTCGCGATAAAATGTCTTTTTTAGGGTGACAGTGTTGCTGGCGCAAAATGAACCTAATGGATTTTTCCCGGATTGATGGTAAAATCAACGTGTTCATTTAGTGATGACCTCATGATTTAACTATCGTGGAAATGTCTCTTTTCATGCTAAATCATTTAAAAAATGGGGAGTTTCCAATGATACAGGGCAAGTCTAGAGAAAGGACACAAACTCCAGGAATGTATTATACATGTGAAAATAATCTAAAAGAACACATATTATTGCACATTCGATCAAATACTTTGGATTTGAGTTAAATATATATAAATGCTCAAAATTAAACGGTGCATCATCTCAAACAGTCTGATCTGTAACTCCACATATTCGCCACTAGATGGCAGATGTCACGGTTTATCACTAAGGCCAGTTTGCGCTGACAATGGATGCAGCCGAGCGATCTGATACACCAGTGAGATCGCATGCTAAAGCTAATGAAGGAAACTTATGACCGTAAGCGGAAGATCCTTTTGCGTAAGTCCTAGATATTTTACCTCCCCTTTTAGTTGGACGTTTTATACTCGGAGGTTAGAGGTTCTAGTCCCTCTAACTTTCTCCCGCGCGTGAATGCAATTATGGTAGATTTTTGGTACTAATTTTTAGTCCTACTTTTTCTATCCATTTTATTATTATGTTTAGGACCTTTTGCATATGGTCTCTAACTGTAGTGTTGTATTTACCCTGCGCCATGATGTCCATCGATGTAGATAAACTCCTACACTTACACCGATAGTAGTAAAACCGGATGACAAAAAATACTTGCAAAGGGATTTTTTATTGCTATAGACGTCTGGAAACAAATTATTTTATTGTCAGCAAAAAACAAAAAACACCATCGATAAAAAGCATTATTTTGAATTTGACAGGTTACACGACAGTTCTTACCACCGTGAACAAGTACATGTTGTTTACCCCCCCTCCCTTGTACCCACATACTTTGATTACTATACGGTGCAAGAGAGAGGTCCGACACGCCCAACATAGGGCGCGGCCATTTTGATTCCTATGCCACAGTTTATAGCTAAAGAATCAGATCGCTCACCCTGCGTCAGCACTTTTGATCTCAATGTTCCAGTTTTTACACTGCGTAACTCGGATACAATATACGACAACCGCCTATAATAAAACAGCAGTCTTCTGCGTATCCTGAATTTGTATCCCTGGAGTGGATGTTATTTTGGAACTTTCAACTGGTCCGAGTGAGCTAACAGATTCTTTAGCAATAAACGCTGACTCCAAAAATAATATTCACCTCATACTTTGATTCTCTTTTACTATACGGGGAATGGTCGCACTGCGTAGCTTTCTGAGTGCCTTTTAAAAGGAAAGAAAACTCCGCTATTTTGATCCCTTATTACGTGTTGCCTACATCTTGGCGCAATATTTTTAATAGGTGCGTTTTAATCATCCGCTTCTGCTTCGGAATTGTCAGTTTTCTTGTTTTAATCTGACAGGTTAAAACGACTAAACCGACAATTCCGGAAGCAGAAGCGGATGATTAAAACGCACCTGATATTTTGCTTGCTGCTGTCAGTGTCAGTGAATATTATTTTTGGAGTCACAGTTTATTGCTAAAGAATCAGTTAGCTTACTCGGACCAGTTGAAAGTTCCAAAATAACATCCACTCCAGGGATACAAATTCAGGATACGCAGAAGACTGCTGTTTTATTATAGGCGGTTGTCATATATTGTATTATCCGAGTTGCGCAGTATATAAACTGGAACATTGAGATCAAAAGTGCCGACGCAGAGTGAGCGATCTGATTCTTTAGCTATAAACTGTGGCATAGGAATCAAAATGGCCGCGCCCTATGTTGGGCGTGTCGGACCTCTCTCTTGCACCGTATAGTAATCAAAGTATGTGATATTCACTGACACTGACAGCAGCAAGCAAAATATCAGGTGCGTTTTAATCATCCGCTTCTGCTTCCGGAATTGTCGGTTTAGTCGTTTTAACCTGTCAGATTAAAACAAGAAAACTGACAATTCCGAAGCAGAAGCGGATGATTAAAACGCACCTATTAAAAATATTGCGCCAAGATGTAGGCAACACGTAATAAGGGATCAAAATGGCGGAGTTTTCTTTCCTTTTAAAAGGCACTCAGAAAGCTGCGCAGTGCGACCATTCTCCGTATAGTAAAAGAAAATCAAAGTATGTGCTTGTACCTAACTACAAATAGCAAGCAAGAAAACACAACATGCCACTTTTTGAAGTCAAATGAGGGACTATATTCTTACTGTTATAAACCTGAATTTAGAACAACACAGTTACACACGATATGCCCACCTGACTTGAAATTTGAATTTACCCTTGTTGCCTAGCAACATACTAGGCTAACTGAATATCGTCTGTTCGCAAGATGACGTTCATTTCACCTAGGATAGATTCGAAGGAAAATAGCGATTGCGCATGCTTAGCTGTTATTGGATACGTTTGTAGCGTTGGGCTACTGTTTTTGTATACTCTAAATATTAAACATTAACATACATACAAAACTATGAAGATGTTAATACAGTCTGATTCGTTTAACATGTTTTGCGTTTTGTGATATCATTGACTTTAGATATTACAAAAAACAATAACGGGTACAGACTCTTTTATTCTACTACATTATGTAGGTAAGTACTTTCTTTATTTGCATTGGATATGCGGAAACAGAAACTAGTGAATAATTCATCAGTTTCTGCTTTCTAAAGTATTGGATCACGCATTTAGAAACCACTTTTGACTGTTACATCCCCAACAACAAGGGAGTTTGAATATACAGCTTTGAATATTTAAAAAGGCATTGTGTTTGGTAAGGAAAATAATAAAATAGTTTTGTTGAATGCAATTTTATTTACTATATATTGAACCAGTGTTATTTATTTGTAACCTCACAGAAAAAATGCAGTTTTGTTTTCTTATATAAAATTCAATAAATAAAAATACAGTTTTTTTTTTAATTTTGTAGATTTTATGATCAAAAATGTGTGAAAAAATTACCTTTTCCTTTTTTTGTCTTCTAGAAAATTCGAAGTACGTTCCTGGATGAAGCAGCCGCATATCCGCGATATTTCCGGTACAATAATAACAGAAATAAGCAAATACTTATTATTAAAATAGCAAAGTGCTTTTTACATTAAGCCATCTTCAATGAAAAAAAAACTTCACTAATAACAGTTGTTCCAATAATGAAATATTGGAGAATCACACCTTGCTAAAATTTTTTTGTTAATTTGTTTATATTTTAAAGTTTAAGACCTTCTTATTTAACCATTTTCGTTAAGACAAAGCAATGTTCATCTTGCCCGATTTAAACAAAAAGTGAACAAATAATTTTTTCTTAAACCATATTTTTTCTTTGTTTTCAGGAAGTCGACTTGTTCCCGGTTCTTCGAGCTCTCAACGATGCAGTCATTCGTACGTTCCCACTGAAAAAATATACACCAGTTTCGCGCAGAGAAAAGATCCAAGTCTTTATAGCAGAATATTTGCCACGCTCCGTCTACGATGTCATCTATTCTTAGAAATGTTGTAGGTATACGTACAGTACAATGCTGGGCAAAATCAAACCTTCTGGCCCTGCTTTGCTTGTGTTAAAGTCAAGCAACTCCACTGGGGCAACATAGATATTACATTGTTTATTTTATACATATCATATTGAGTACGATCGGACACTATAATGGCTACAAAAGCTACGGCAGCCACTATAATGGTCACTATTTTATACTATTTTAAACGAATGTTGAATTGACGCGGTACAAAATGGTTTGAATCATTTGTGTGGTCTACAAAAAAAGATTGGAGAAAAGCCTGGCCCGCCATATTGACCATGTAGTACCTCTGTTAATCGTTTATTTACACATGCTTTAAACAGGTGTATTTTTCGAGGTAAAACGGTACTTGTCCATTTAGAGTGAAATGCAAAGATAAACCAGCATGTATTCTAAGTTGGGTACAATAAGTAAACTAGTAGAAGCAGTATAAAGAAGGGTAAGGTACAAATTACTAGTAGTGGCACGATATAATAGGTCACAAAAATGTAAAGAAAACTCGTCTTTTACAAATTTAGGTTTCAAATGGACTGTATGACTTTTTATTGACATTAGTTCTCATTTGGGTAACTGAGTTGCTTCTATTGTGTTCAGGAGAAAATGTTCCTACAGAGTGAGCTTTCAACTTAACTTTAAACTTAGCTAAAAGTGAGTAATATTTAGTTTCTACATTTGACCTATCAGTGTCATTCTCATCTAATTCTTCAATATCAAATTGTATGTTATCATAATCACTAAATGCGTTAGTCAATCCTACTTTTCTTACTTCAAATTCCTCTAGCTGCTGTAAATCATAGTTATTATTAATCCAATTTTCGGTTCTAGTGATTGCTTTTTTTGAATTTCTTCTTTTTTTGACTAACTCATTTAATGACATTGTTGTAACTTAAGTAAAAACTGACTACAGTAACACAGTATTTTAAATATAAATCAAACCTAACTAGACTTTATAATTTGCTTTGGAGCAAACAAGCGAGTTTATCAGCAATGAAACAAAATATAGATATAAAAGATCTGACCTTTGTTTTGGGACACTTTCACTTCACTTCACTTTTTGTTCTTCTAGACTACAGTGCTGAGGTGACTACTAAACATCTGAGTTGGGATCTGAGTTGAGGTTGGGGCTATAAGTGACTTCTTTTCACTCACTGGGACTAAATTATCTGCGTTAAACTTCCTTACTTCTTGAATAGGTGCTAGGATTTTTCTTTTTTATGCTAAAGATGTCTTCTTTTAACTGTGTGTGTCTTCTGATTTCTTTTAGAGTTTGTTTCTAGGGGTACCACTACACGTGGTAAACTTCGGCGGGGCTGATTTCTTTTTATCCGGATCGCTGGACCACAAAAATGTAAAGAAAACTCGTCTTTTATAAATTTAGGTTTCAAATGGACTGTATGACTTTTTATTGACATTAGTTCTCATTTGTGTAAGTTGCTTCTATTGTGTTCAGGAGAAAATGTTCCTACAGAGTGAGCTTCCAACTTAACTTTAAACTTAGCTAAAAGTGAGTAAAATTTATTTTCTACATTTGACCTATCAGTGTCATTCTCATCTAATTCTTCAATATCAAATTGTATGTTATCATAATCACTAAATGCGTTACTTCAAATTCCTCTAGCTGCTGTAAATCATAGTTATTATTAATCAAAGTTTCGATTCTAGTGATAAAAAGTCATACAGTCCATTTGAAACCTAAATTTGTAAAAGGCGAGTTTTCTTTACATTTTTGTGTGTGTGGAAGAGAAATGAATTTTGAACAGGCATAAATTTTATGACGAGTTAAATTACAGAAAACACATTTTATTTTGTGTGGAAGTGGAAGAAGTTTCATGTGATTGAAAGAAATGTACTTGGGAATATTTCGGTTGGCCTCTTATGGGCTTCGATGAATGACTATCTAACTCAGGTATATTTCTTCGTTCTAATTTAGTGCACCTTTTTTCCAAAAAACCTAAAAATTCCTTAAGTGTAGGTACCGTTTCAGGGTCAGTTTCTACTTCATATGCTCGTTTTGTACTGGAGTCTAACTTTTCCGACAACAAAAAGATTAAGATTAAATCCCAGCTTTCTACGGGTACATCTAAGTGACTTAAAGAGTCAAAATCTTGTCTAATGTGTGTAATGAATTCTCTTAATGTGGTGGCATTTTCTTTAGTAAGGGTGGGGATTTTCAAAATACGTTTAATGTAATCAAAAATGATTGTTACTTGATTGCCATATCTTCTCTTTAAAGTATCTAGAGCTACGTCTAAGTTTTCTGATTTTAAAGGCAAATTATTGATTAGATTTAAAGGTTCGTCCTTTAAATAACTTTTTAAGTAAACTAGTTTCTCAATTTGTGACAAATTTGTGTCATTACCTATAAGAGTTGTAAAAAGTTCAATAAATGATTTCCACTCAACAAAATCACCTGAAAATCGATTAATTTTAATAATTACATAGTATGCTAGGTAATTATTACAGCAACAATTTTTGTATCTCTCCCAACACTTAGTTGTTGTATTGCAGGCCTGATGAGATGGCCCCATAGGCCAAAAGTAGTTGCGCTTCATTGTATTTTTATATTATATTGTAGTATCGATTTTGAGTAGTTTTATTCTTTTAAAATATTAATGTATCTACATCTAAAACACGTCTCATCATTTTATCTGTCGTCACACAAACATTAAATCATAATTTATGAGATATTTCACTGTGGTTCACCTATTGGGTATCAGCTGTAAAAGCAGTTAATTGATTCCAAAACGAAATTACTATGCTTCAAAGAAATTATTATGAACAGCTTAGTTAAAGCAAATACAAATACACCCAAAACTGCAAAAACTCCAGTAGATCCAATAGTGAGTTGAATCTGTTCGTTACCTAGAATCCATCCCTAAAGAAAACCAAAATTCAACACCCTCTAAACGCTGTCAGTGCGATGAATGTCTAGGATTGTAAATTACCCATGTTTAAGAAATGGCACACAAAATAAAGTCAGAAATTTGCAGTTTCAACAGTATAGTTTTAAAATATTTTTCTTCAGAAAAGTCTTAGTTTATACATAACCATTATAATGGCCATTGATACAGCATGTTTATAGTTTTTAAAATGGACCAGTGACCACAAGAGCAGCTCAAGTTTAACATTTTCTAAATTTCATATTAGTCAATCACTTCGAAAAGTTATCGACTGCAGTAGGTACAGCAGTAAAAAGACTGGTTCAAATATTGGTGATACTCAACGTGATATGAGAACACTATTATTTACTTTAACAGAAGCAAAGGAAGTCCAAAGGTTTAATCTTGTTAGCACTGTTTTATACCAGAAAAATTTAGTGAAAATAATGAAGTTTTAAGTGAAAAATGTTTAACTTGTTACTTATATTAGGTATGTAATGATAATTATTATATGATAATAAATTTAGGTATATTGTTTTGAAAATGCTTGTATGGATCTGTTGTTTATCTTTTTTTCGATAGGTATAATAAAAAAATGTTATAAAATCAGATTTTTTTAAGTGTTGATTTCCTACCTTCGACGTCGAGATGTTTTAATTTTCGAATTTTCTTTTTTATTACATGTTTATAAGGCCCGATGATGGCGAATTAGTCGAAATTTTGTGTATTATTTTGTTACTACATTGACCACATTTAAGAAGATGTTGTTTTTTTTATATACAGGGTTGGCCAAACCTCTGTCGTAGTTCTATAACTCCTACTATGCAAATCTTAACGATTTATTTGATGTATACCTGTCAATAATGGCCAATACCAAATATCCCAAAATTATTTTCTTGTGTACAGGGTGGCCCAATAGTAAATTAGGCAAATCACTTAATTTTTTTTAAATGGAATGACCCAACTTTTTTTACAATTTTAGGTACTCTATGGTCACTAGTACATACCCACAAAATATTGTTTCTAACATCCCACCTCTTTCGCAGAAAAAAAAATTACCAAAAAATATTACATTTTCAGACGCCTATTAAAATATGCAGTACTCTCTCGAATTTGATGTTAGAATTTAAAAAACTACGATTGTATAAAGCCAATAGACCAAAGATTTTTTTGGACCAAGTTTGAATTTTTTATTTTGTACAGGGTGGTCACAAATTAATTTCACTTTCCAAAAATTTCGAGGGAAATTTTTTAAAATTTTTCAAATGTATTACCCTGTATTTCTATTCATCAACTGAAGGAGAATTTCATACCCTTCCACTTCCCTATATACTTTCCTATACCTATGCTCAAAATGTCTGCCATTTTCTCTAATGCATACATTTATTCGTTGGGCGAATGATCGAGAAACGTTTCTAAGCATATCAGGTGTAATGGAATGGAAAGCTTGCACTATCCTTTCTCTCATATTTTCAGGTGTTGTAGGTGGCGTAAGATAGACTAGATTTTTAATATAACCCCACAAAAAATAATCGGGTTTTGTTAAGTCAGGTGATCGAGCTGGCCATTTTTTTGGAAACTTTTCATCTAATTCATCTGCCACTTCGCGTAAAAAATGCGCTGCTGCCCCATCATGTTGGTACCACATTGTTAGTCTTACAGCAAGGGAAATGTTTTCAAGTAAAGTAGGAAGATGATTTGCTAAAAAATCTAAATACATCAGACCATTTAAGTTGCCTTCAAAAAAATACGGCCCAATAACATGATCCCCAATTATACCTCCCCAAACATTTACAATCCATCTTTCTTGGTTATGTGTTCTGATGATGTTAGGATTTTCCGTAGAATAATAGTGGAAATTATGTCTATTAACGAATCCGTTCTTGTGGAATGTAGATTCATCAGAAAACAGCACTCTATAAAAAAAATGGATTTTGTTGCAGTTTAGTTTGTGCCCAGTTACAAAACACCATCCTATTATCAAAATCGGTGTCTTTCAGCTCTTGATGCAATTGTATTTTATAAGGATGATATTGATGCTGTTTTAAAATCCTTCTAACGGATGTTCTACTTATACCTACTACTTCGACAATCTTTTTTTGACTTACATGAGGATCTTCT